AATGACATCATAACCGGAAATACTCGCTCAATTATTAAGTATGCACGTTCACCTATTCCAGCATAAATTATTGGGCATGCACGTTGTGTGTACTGCTTAACTGTGTGTATGCGGTTTAACTGTAAGCATTACGTAAATGTTTTGCGCATGTCTATAAAAGAGACCGCGCGTTTATTCACTGATATCACTGCATACTAAGCCTTTGAAAATGAATTTTTCACAAAATTTTGAGCAATCGAACTGGGCCAACAGTTTTCATGCAGACGAAGTTTCGTCTTCTGATTATAAAAGGCTTTTTAGTTTATTAGAGGCTATATATCGGCACAGGCTGTTGCTTACGAAGTTGGTAAACTTACTAAAGAGAGATGTTCTGGTTGTGAGTACAGAGTACGACCATCCAAGTCAACGCCAGCATGACTGTCTCATGTTATCGGAACAAGAGAGATGGCAATCGTATGGTTTGGAAGCCATAGAGCGCGTGATTGTTAAGCGTATGATTTGGAGGGGGTTTGTTGAGGCTATTAGAGTGATGAAGTTACATGCAGTATCATAAAGATGTTCGTGAGCACTTCGACAGTTTAGAGAAAAGTCCTGATTCAACGTTTGTTTACTCGCTGATGGATCTTCGTGAAAACACTGAGGATAGTGAATTTGAGTAAATTTTAAATTATCTTTCATACTTGTGAGAGGACATACTTTTAGACCAACTTTCTAACTGGAAATAGGATTGCCGTAATGACCTGCTTGAGCCTGGGGCTACGGTCTTTTTTCGATGCCCCCTAGCTTTAAGTATACTGTGAAGGCGGCAGGCGAGCAACGATTTAGAAGTCATGAAGAGGATCATTATAAGGCATACTTGGAATATCTGAGAAGTAAACGTTGAGATTGAATGATTCAGTGTAAATATGTTAATAAACGAGTTTCGTTTTTATTCTTTTTGTAAATTTGAGGGTTCTTAAAAGAACCGGTGTTTTGTGTTTGTCTTTACTGATGCAGCCACATCGCAAAGGATTCGACTTTGACTTTTGTGCAGTGTTGATAAGCGTTGCTTTCCAAATGGTTCCCGCAGGTTTCTAACCAGATCAGTTGATCAAATAGTTTTTCAGCTTTTGGACAATTGAGGCATTCCAAATCAGTACGGCCGGAATACGGAGATTCGCCAGCAAATCCCTTTCGTAATGTCCGCCTTTGAAGGCAATTGACAATTGTAGAGTTTGAATCGATCTGTATTTCACGGTAGAATCGAAATTCTCTACAATTGCCTGCAAGTCCGAAATTTGAAATGCTTTGGTACTCTGCGGCACTCTAAACGGGAGTTTATGTATATTTTTCTGGGCGAAGTTACACGTTCCGTTTTGTCTTTCTCGTTGAGCTCGTTGCAGTGTAAGGCAATATAAAAAAAGATCGACGAGGCTTCAGAGTTTCCGACCTTTATGACTCCAAACTCCTTACAGAAACATTTCTTTGCAATTTGAACTCCGTCCATGTCAATTTGACTCTTTCTCGACAGGCCAGTTTCGCATTACATTTCGATTCAATTTTTCTAATATAAATATCTCGGCGGGTATTTACCTCCCTTTTAAATGAATGCCACCATTGAAATCCTCACAATATAGCCTTTCGAACGGGGGTCAAGTGCAGTCAAAACATTACACAAACCGAAACAATCATATATTTACTCACTGCTTGGCCAAAGATTCTAAATTTTATATCCACCAAATCTTGAATATCTCTTGAACTTTTCGCTATTTGCTGATCGGCTATATGTGTAAAATACTCTCTGTATTCAAGCGCTTTCGTGTACAAAATTTCGTTTGAATACGGCGAGTAGAAATATTTATTTTGAATTTTTCAAGATGTCGGGTTTTACTTGGACTTGCGCACATTGCGCAATAATTGGCCAATAAGAAGCTCCTGTGACCAGGATGACGTCAAACTCACGCGTGTAGGTGCATTTTGACCTTGCGAACCATTTCTGGCCTTTCCAGGGTCATACGATACAAACGTCGCATTGTTTTGACGGTTTTCGTTCGTATTTCCGGTTGGGATTAACTCACTTCGAGCTCACAGTCGGACAAGAATTGGAAATATATTGATAAAAGATAAAGATTTCAAGATACAGGCTTGCAAATAACACTCTAAATAGTGTTTTTGATGGGGATACGAATAAGACAATTACAAAGACGATATTTTCGAGGGGGCCGAAGTTATTATCGGCGAAAGGTATGGCTAGTCTATATTTTTGTTCAGACAATTGCATAATTTGATAGTATACAATCGCGTTTGCCTGTCAAATGCCTATAAATCGTTACAATACTAATAATGACTATAACTATCGTTTGGAGCTAGTTGATCTTTTATTTCTGAATCGAATGGTGGTATTTCTGTCTTCGTAGCATGCACTGAACGGAAGGTATGAAATTTCTAGCCGTCGATCTCTCGAGATCGACGCGACTAGGGCCTGTTGAAAAAGAGTTTTAAAACACTAATCTGCGTTTAATTTGGCGTGCGATATAACTATCGCGTGTACAAAACGTTAATCCATATGTTAATTTATGCATGCAGTCAACCAACGCGTTAGCTTAGGCAATAATATTTTGCTTTTAAAATCAGTGCGATTTCGTGTTACCTCTTTACCTCCCTTTTGAGCACGCATGCATCGGAACATTTTAAAAACTTTGGGAAAGATCGTGATGCAACTGTTGATGAACTTGAGGTGGAGTTTAAGCCATTGCTTTAAGGTGGGAAATCAATTTTGTTTAAAACATATATTTCTGTATTAGTTTATGTGTGAATTAGGTTGTTTAAAAAACTAAGCTGCGTGTTAGTTTTTGCGTGTGTCTTAGCGATCTTACTGGACGCAAGGACATGTTAAAATGCGTCCCGTAAGAAAGTTTTGTGCGTCCCACATATAGGGATAACTCTCGGAGTGTCCCGCAAACAATTCCCAGGCGTCCCGTAGAAACGTTCCTGTGTCCCGTGCGTATGAGCACATGCTCATAACTGCTCATGAGCACATGCTCATCTGCTCATAAAACTGCAATACGGCTCAATAGCAAGGCATTTCTGCACAGACAGTGATAACGGAATGAGCTGCCAATTTTGCGGAAAGCAATTTAATCGTGGTTACAATCTACGAAGACACGAAAAGCAATACTGTTAACTAGGTGCACAAAAAAGAAACATGTCTCGAACAGATTCAGATAGCCAGGAAAGTGATTTCCAAGAAGATGTCTCAACAACTACAACTGATGTGTCCGAAATTTCGATGACAACTGATAATGAGGCAGAAACTG